GGGAGGCTGAGGCAGGAGAATCATTGCGAGTTCGAGACCAGCCTGAGCTACAAAGTGAGCTCAAGGCCAGCCTGAAGTGCATAGGGAGATAGAAAATTAAAAAGACCAAAAAAAAAAAAAAAAAAAAAAAAGTCTAGGAGGTAGCTCAGTGGAAGAGAACAGCTCGGTTGGGGCCTCAGTGCCTCCTTCCACAGGTACCAACACAAAAGGCAGAATGATTTGATATCTGAGTGGGGCTCCAAGTAAAAGGCGAGTTTGTGGTAAGGGGCAGGGCTTGAGTTGAGATCTTCACATCTGACGGGTTAAAGGAAGTCCGGGCTCCAGAAGGGGCGGAGTTTATGGTAGGGGCGGGGCTTTTACGGAGTCCACCTCTGAACGAAGGCAGGGTTCAGAGCAAGGGGTGGAGTTCGTGACAAGGGGTGGAATTTGAACACAGACCTCCTTTGGTTGAAGGTAAGGCGGGGCTCCAGCAAGGGGCGGAGCGTACAATAGGGCGAGGATTGAGTGGTTGAAGGGAAGGCGAGGCTCCAATGAGAGGTGAGGTATGGGGCAGGGCGAGATTGAACCAGGGGCAGGAGCTGTTGAAAGGAAGGCGGGGCTCGATTAAGGGGCGGGGCTTAGTGTGGGGCGGAGCTTTGATCAGACAGTAGTTGGGAGAGAAGGCGGGGCGGGGCCGAACGGGCCGGTGGGGGCGGGACTGGTGACGTCATCGGCCACCAGCTTGGGGAAGACGCCAAGATGGCGGCGAGCAGGTCTTCCGGCTTCGCGCATTCCAGGTAACGGCCCGTTCCACCTCCCTCCGCGCGGAAACAGGCGCAGGGAAAGCCGCGCGCTGAGGAGTCGGCGGAACCGCGGTGTGGTCGCAACCGGCCGGAATGCGAACCGGGGTGGGGTGGGAGCAGCTTTCTCCGGTTGCCATGGACACCGAGCCGCGCGTGCGTCAGGGGTCGCGAGGACCCGGCTCCAGAGCCTGGATGGGGGTCCGGGGTGGGCGCCGGCGACATCTGAGGGCGCCGCGAGAGGGGAGCTGGCGGTCACAGGAGGGCGGGGACCTGGGCCCGACTGGGGGCACCGAGACCTCGGGGGGCTGGGCGGGGAGTCGGGAGGCGGAGACATCGGGGGCCTGACTGGGGGCGGGCAGAGTTGGGTGCAGGCTGGACTTGGCAGAAAGACCTGAGACCCGGTCGGAGGGTGGGCACCTGGGGAGGAGGCGGGAGCAGGGACCTTGCGATGGCTAGGGGCCTGTTTGGGTGTTCAAGAGCCACACGGGAGGGGACTCAGGCGTTTGAGAGCGGAGGGAGGGAAAGGAGAGGCAGGGCGGGGGCCGCAAGCCACAGAGCACGCACACTGCCTTGTTCCGCACGGCCACAGCCCCCCTCGCAGCCAGGGCTGGCACCCTCGGGGAGAACACTGCCCCTGCCGTTCTTCTGGACCATCTTTGGGCCGGTGTGTAGCTGGCGGCCTGTTGCAAACCCTTAGGACGGCTTCCCAGCTCCTGCCGAGTGCAGGGTGATGGGAACTGTCCCTTTGGCACCTCAAAGACAAGGTCCCCAGAACCTGGGGCCTTTGCACACGTTTCATTGACACTCGGAGTGGACAGTAGATGCTGGAGCCGGGGTTCTGGGCGCAGCCCAGGGCTTGTGCTGTTGCGTGGCTCCTTCTAACAGAAACTGCAAGAGCAGCCAGTGGAAACTGGAAGTGTGGGAGACAGGTGGGCTCCTAAGGGGCACCCTCAGGGGTTCCTTGGATGTTGTGCTTGTGCTCTCAGGAAGAAGGCTCGGCACAAAGCTGCTGTTTCCCTGGACGGAGTGGAGTGCTTCATTCTTCTTCCCTGTTCCCATCCTCCTCAGTGACATTGGGATGGCCAGGGCCAGGTGCAGACTCGGGCTCCGCTGGTTGCTTGGCAACACTCTGCCCCCTGCCCGCCCACTGCTAGCCTTTTCCTTTCTGCCTCCAGTGCCTCTTTCAGTGCCTTGTGGACAAACCATTGAATATTAAGGCATTAAGATTTCCTTCCATTCAGGTGTAGTGGCTCACACCTGTCATTCCAGCTATTCAGGAGGCTGAAGCAGGAGTATCGAAAGTTCAAAGCCAGGCTGGACAATTTAGCAAGGCCGTGTCTGA